TGAGATGGTGGAAAAGGGTCGATATATTCAATTTAGCAGTCAGAGGCAGGGTGGGGAACTATGTGGAATCATGGAGAACTGGTCTTTCAGAAGTGTGTGGTCTTACTGATGTAAGGAATATAGTTGGGCAGAAATAGCTGCCTTGTTCTTTTTTATGAGATCCGCTCCCACTGCAACTTATCAAAGCCATGTCCAGATTGGTGATGGACCCATTCCCTAAACTATGCTGTTCTCATAAGGGCTTATGAGATCTCATTTGCATATTTAGTTTAGGCAAGGATGTACATTGTCATTGATGGGCACTAACATGACCAATAACCATATGCCATGGGAGGTATAATTCCTCCATGGGTCCCCCAAAAAGGAGAGACCTTGATTATCCAGTCCTATTCTTTCCAAACCCCAAACTTTCTGTGAGCCAAATCCATGGCCACTGCCCAGGCTCCATTCTGCTTGATCTTATGGAAAAAGACTTCCAAAAACATGAACCCCAAAGGGTTATAAGGACCCAGGGAAAGAGATGGTTGAACAACCTGCTTTTTGGCTTCCAGGGCTGCAGCCTATTCTGGCCCCCTTTCAAAAATGACAGATTTGGAGGAGATTCAGTAAATAGAGACTGTCAGGGTACCTGAGTCAGAAGTCTGAGTGTGCAAGATAGAAATTCCAATAAGGCTCTGGGCTTTCTTTTGGGTTTGGGAGGAAGCTAGCATGAGTAGCTTATCCTGACCTTTGTCCAGAATCATCTAGGCTCTTCCCATCTCCTGCATTTCCTCAAACTTTACAGATTAGGCTGGACCTTGGGTTTTGGGGGGATTAATTTCCCACCCCTTGTTGGTCATAAATTAGGTCATCATTTGATCCCAGGCCTCAGCCACTGCGACCTCATTTGATCCAGTCAACTCGATGTTATTTATGTAGTGATATACTCCAATACCCTCAGGATGAGAAGCCTCTTTCAGATCTCTGTCCACCAGGCTAGGTATGAAGCCATATATAGAGGTGGCCCGAAGGAAGAATGGTGAAAGTATACTGGACCCCTTCCTAAGTAAACTGCACCTTAGTCTTAGTCAAAGGAATAGAGAAAAAAGCACTGGTGAAATCAGTAACCCCATATAATGCATGTTGGGCCTATACTACCTGGTCCATCATATTGATGAGATTAAGAATAGCTACAGGGATAAGCTTGACAACTTTGTTCAGTTCTCTAAAGTCCATCGTAAGCTACCAGTTGTCATCTGCCTTCTTAACTGAATATATACACTAGGTTGTTATAAAAGGAGTCAGTTAAATATTCCAGCCTTCTTCATCTCCACAACTGGAAAGGAAATATCTTTCACTTCCTCAGAGACTCATTTTTCTTTCTTTCTCTCTTTCTTTCTTTCTTTCTTTTTTGATATTAACTACATGGGATTGCTTAGGTAGCCTCACAGGTATCCCACAAGGCTCTGTCCTGGGCCTTCTCCTCTTCTCCCACTATACCATTTTACTTGGGTGATCTCATCAGCTCTCATGGATTCAATTATCATTTCTTCGCTGATGATTCTCAAATCTACCTATCTAGCCTTAGCCCCTTTGCTAAATTCCACATCTTATATCTCCTATTGTCTGTTAGATTTCTAGAACTACAAGTCTTGCAGGTATCTTAAACTCAACATTTCCAAAACTGAACTCATTATCTTTTCCCCAAAATTCTCCTCTCCTTCAAACTTCCCTATCATTTTAATACTCTACTATCCTCCAAGTCACTTAGGCTTGCAACCTAGGTATCATCATCAATTCCCCACTCTCACCTCCCATATCTAATCTGTTGCCAATCTATTCAGTTGGATGACCTTGGAGTCTTCAACATATGACCAAACTCTAGGGGCTCCACAGTGCCTGCTTCAACTGCCATAATGGCTATTGGAACAAATTGTTCTCATATCACCCATTCCACCGGACAGCCTTCACATGCTTAGGGTAGACATCCCCCTAACTCACCAACAGGTTTGAGACCTAATGTCATCGGTCCTCTTAGAAAGGAAGGACAAACCACAACAGTACTTGGAATGTACTCCCTCCTCACCTCCACCCCAGAGAATGCCTTTTGTCCTTGAAGATGCAACTCAAACACTATCTTCTACATGAAATCTTTTCTGGTCCTCTCGTCTGTTAGTTCACTCTCTTCTCCCAAATTACCTTCATATTTATTTAATTCTCTTTATGTTTATGCAATGTACCCTATATGTGTATATGTTGTACATATATGTAATTGTTACATCTCCTGTTAAAATGTAAGCTCCCTGAAAGTAAGAATTGTTTCACTCTTTGTATACAATCCCCAGCATCTAGCACAGGGCCTGGCACATAGCAAGCGCTTAATAAATATTTTTTTGGCAGATCTTAAGAGTTCCTTTTAAAAACAAATTTTCATTCATACCTTCTGCTTCTTACTCCATCATAATTATCCCAAGTATTTTCCCCCTTCCCTTCCCAGAAAGTCATCCTACACAACAAACAGTATTTTTTTTTTTCTAGGCAATTGGGGTTAAGTGACTTGCCCAGGGTGACACAGCTAGTAAGTGTCAAGTGTTTGGTCTGAGGACAAACAGTATTTTTTAACAGGGAAAAAAACTAACAGCAAAACTGATTAATACATTTAAAAAGTCTGAAAACATATGCAATATTTAACATCTGTGGACCTCTCACTTCCTCAAATGAATGAATTACTGGTATCCTCTAATACCTATTCATTCAAGTTCTGTTTGATTGTTATGTTTCTACTTTTGATTTTTTTTGGTGTGTAATTGTCCTTTCTATTTACATTGTAGTTCCTGTGTATTTTGTTTTGTTTCTGCTTACTTGACTTTGGATCAGTTCATATGATCTTTTCATGCTTCCCTGTATTCATCACCCACATCAGTTCTTATGGCACAGCAATATTCCAATTCAGTTCAATAAATATTAATCGCCTATTCAAGTACTGTGTTTAAAGGCTGGTGATACAAAAAGAGGCAAAAGATAGTTCCTACCATCAAGGAACTTACAATTTAATGGGGGCACCATGCAAATAAATGTATACAAAGCAAGCCATATGCAGAATAAATAGGAAATAATTATCAGACAAGGCACTGGAATTAAGAGGGGTTGGGAAAGGCTTCCTGTGGGAGGTGGGATTTTAGTTAGGACTTAAAGAAGGGGAAGTGGCAGAAAGCTAGAGGCCTGAGTTCAGGAAGATTCACCTTCCTGAGTTCAAATCTAGCCTCAGACATGTACTAGCTGTGTGACCATGGGTTAGTCACTTACCTTTGTTTGCCTCAGTTTCCTCATCTATAAAATGAGCTGGAGAAGGAATTTTTGCCAAGAAAATCTCAAATGGGGTCACAAAGAGTTGGACACAAATGAAACAACTTAACAAGCGGAATCTCTGTCAAAGTATAAAACCTATCTAGTATCTTTTCTCGCATAATTCCGAAGTGTTTTCTAGAGGAGTTGAATTACTTGCAGCTCCACCAGTAGAGAATTAACTTGCCTATCTTCTCAAACATTCTAATTAGGATCTTTGAGAATTTTGCTAGCTAGATAGGTTTGGTAATTAATACCTTAAGATTCCTTTAATGTGCATTTTTTTCAAGTGGTTGATGGTTTGTTTTTTTTAATAACTGCTCATGACTGCATCTTTGGGGAAATAGATGCTAAGCTTGTATGTTGTCAGTTTCTTATTAGTCAAGGATACTTAACACAGGATTCGTGAAATTTTAAATCTTTTTATGACTTTTCAACATAACCCATTTTCTTTGTGATACTCCATATTTTATGTATTATTATTACTATTTTGTGCATTTCTGAGAAAAGGTCCATAGTCTTCACTAGACTCCTAAGAGGCCTACAATACAAAAAAGGATAAGAATTCCTGCTATAAATGTTGCACGCCAGACTTTAATCAGATATTTTGGTGGCACAGCGAATAGAGAGTACATGGCCTGGAGTTGGGAAGACTCATCTTCCTGAGCTCAAATCTGGCCTCAGACACTTACTAGCTGTGTGACCCTGAGCAAATCACTTTAACCTGTTTGTCGATAAAATGAGCTGGAGAAGGAAATGGCAAACCACTCCAGTATCTCTTCCAAAAACAAACAAAAAAACCCAAAAAGGGTCAGAGTCGTACACAGATGAACAAAGTTAATGCAACATTTTTTCTAATACACACCTGATTCTAGCAGTACTGATTTTACTTATGCAAAATGATTTTATTTTTACGAAATTAACATCGTCTTTATTAATTTTTTTTATTCTCCAGAGTCCTAAGGACCGTACCACTGGATCACAGGCCCTGGCAGATCCTACAGTTCTCACTACACACCGGAATGTGTTTCCTGAGGACCAGACTCAGGGCTCCTCACCTGCCACCTGGCCACGTGCTGCCGAACTCCTCCCACCCCAACTCGGCTGCATTCGGGACGGACGGGAAAGAAACAGGGAGGCTCACGTGGGCAAACATAACTACCAAAACTCTGAAGAGGTGGGGGGGGGAAGGCTAAAACTACAAACGGGCTCCTTCTCTTATGTGTTATAAATTAACATGGATGGATGTAGCCTTGGCAAAGACTGTACGCTCTTCCACGTTCTCCATTTTTTCCAAAACAAAATTCAGGTTTAAAGCTCATAAAACCAAGAGGACGGAAGGGGCGGGGCCAGAATCCAGAGGGTTGGGACGTACCACTCTAGACAGCCAAGTTTTGGGGGAGAGGAACATTCCATCTCTCAAGTATTCAAGAGTTTCCTTTCAAATACCTCAAAATTAACGTCACTTAACATATGAATTATTCTCACAAAAATTCTTATTTGATATCCCAATATCCCGATAATTCCCAAATCTTGCTTTAAGGCTGTTCTGATTTTTAGCCTCAGGAATGGACTCTTCCGGGTCCCTTGCCCCTCCCCCAGGCCGCCGTTTCCGCTTTGCCTTGGTAGAGGCGGGGGTTGAGCGGGGAAGCGGCACAGTCTAACTTTAGACTTGGCCGGGGTAGGGAGGGGTGCGTATTCTCGACAAATGGCGGTAGTCCTGAAGGAAGGCAGGCGAGAATAACCGAGGCAACCTGTCTGCGAGTAGGGAGGTAAGTGCGGCGAGTGAGTACGAAGGACAGTTGGAGACCCAGGTGGGCACGCTCGCTTGCTTTCTTCCCCCGGTGCTTCCCCGGCCCCTTGGAGTAGCCGCGGCCGCTGCGGGGCGGGGCCTCTCTCCGAGACTGCCCCGCAACGGTGGAGGTGGCCGAGGTGAGCCAGGCCGTACCCTAGCCTCTCTTTACCCCTCCGATCCCCTCGCCCCCCAGTGTTAGCCCTGTCCTTTTCCTGGGGTCCCGGCAGACCAAGCGCTGGTTTGACCTTCAGCCGGTGAGGGTCTCTAGGCGCTCCCGGCCACGGCCCCCCGGGGGGAGGCGGGGCGAAGCTTTGAAGTTGGAGGGTCCATTCCCAGTGCCCCCAGTGTTGTCTTTACGTCCTTAGCGGGCTTTAAAAACCTTTTTTCCTCCTGAAGTTGAGGAGAAACACCTGTAGTGAGTGGGGGTGTCTCCGCCTCTAAACTGCTCCCTAAGAATGCAAGCGATTTGAAATTAGGGGTTATTTCTTTCCTCGTATCTCAACCCTCGATGCCTGGCACTTAGAAGGCGCTTAAAAATGCAAAAATTGATTCTTCTGCATCTCATTTCTCCCCCCAAATTTCCTCGTATTTATTAGTGATATGCTTATTTTGTTTATGCTTATGTACACGTTTTTGCTCTTCCGATAGACTGCAAGCTCCTTGAAGGCAGGAACATTAACTTTTCTTCATATGCCTAGTTTTGGGGACAGTGCTGGTTATGTTATGTAGATGCTTAAATAAATGGTTGATTGATTTTGCTAATCTAGTGGACACGTTGGAGGCCCCTCCCAGAGTTATGTGGAACCCCTGATTTCTCAGAACTTACTTCTTTCTTCCTTTTCCCCTCCTACCCGCAACGATGATTCACCTCCTGATTTCTAGGTGCTCTTCTAAGTTAGTTGGTGCTTTCCATCCCTTGATTGTGTGACAGTCTCAGATATCTCCTCTTTTCCTACCTAGCTTCACTCATTTTGGATTTTTTTTTTATTTCTCCACAGTATCCCCAGCAAAAGTCTTCCCTGGGAAATCTCATTATCTTGCAAAATACAGTTAGTCTTCCTACTTTCTCCTAATCAGTGTGCTCACCTCGACCATTTAAAGACAGAATACTAGAGACAGATCCTCAGAAATCTCATTTAAAACAAATTCAGTTTGAATTTCTTTGAGCTCTCCACCATGCCTCCACTCACTCTAGAGTGCCTTCTTTCCCTAGTTCCTCGGTTTTCTGCTTTCATTATCTTGTCTCCATAATATTGTAAGCTCCTTGAGGGCAGGGACCGTCTTTTTTCAATTTGCAGTGCCTGGCTTATAGTAGGAATTTAATGTTTATTGACTCTTGAGAGTGCACATTTCACTGCCTCCTTAGGATAAACCTACTTTTCTGCTTACTAGAATGACAGGAAGTTAACTGTTGAGTGTTTGAGGAAAATGCTGTGAATTGTATTAGTCTTACCCACCCACCTCCCACATTACTAAGTAGGTGCTAGGAAAGACCTAAAGATTTTTCTAGGTGCTTTAATATTTCAGGTCCAATGTTCAAAAGAAGTACTAGAATGTAATTCCCAGAGATCTGCCAAGTTTCCTAAACTAAATGAAACATTAAGTAACCTGTTGTTTGGATAATAGTACAGTGTATTCTCTAGAGAGAAGAAACCTAGTTTAGATTCAAAGGTTGGTTTTCAAATCTAATCTTTAAGATTGGCAAGTTACTTAACTTCCTAGGTCCTGCATTTTCTCATCTGTGAACTGGAGGGCTGGTAGGCAAGGTATCTCCCTAAGATAATTTCTACTTGTAGTCAATGATCTTATTGAGACTGAAGTTTACCTGGGAATATATAAGCTTATTAAAGAAAAGTAGACTTTCTACTAGTTCCTGACTCATGTGTTACTTTAACATTTAGGTGGATCTTTGCATTTATCCCTGTGAGAATTCCTTCCATTGGTGCAGATTTCAACCTATCCATGCCTTCTTATCCTTTGCAATTCTTAGAGGATCCCAGCCAGGGTACTAAGGGCCTTCCTCTGAGTCATGTTTTAAATAAATGTGTAAAAAATACAAAGAAACTGTAAATATACTGAAATTGAAATGTCTTCTTTTCCCTAATAGGGGCAATTATGAATGAAGAGCACTTTGTAAACATTGACTTAAATGATGACAACATTTGCAGTATTTGTAAACTGGGAACAGATAAAGAAACACTTTCCTTCTGCCACCTTTGTTTTGAGCTAAATATCGAAGGTAAGTATACTATGCAGTTTAATAGCACTAATTCCATATAAACCAATTTCCTGCACCTTATGATGACACAGTTATACAGATGTCACAGTTATACCCTGAAACTAAAGTAGTGTTGGTACAAAATGGAAAAATACGTAACTAGGGAATCGGTCAATCAAGAGACATTTATTAAGCACCTACCATGTGCCAGGCACTATGCTTAGTAATAGGGATACAAAAAGAAGCAAAAGAAAGTCCCTGCCCTCAAGGAGCTAACAATCTAATGGAGACAATAAGTAAACAAGTATGTATAAACAAGCTATATTCAGGATAAATAGGAAATATGAAAGTGGGAAAGCATTAGAATTAAGAAGGGTTGGGAAAGACTTTCTTTAGAAAATGGGTTTTTAGTGGGGAATATTTTTGTTCATTTGGTTACCTTCCCTCTTTCTTGGATCCCTTTAGAGCAGAAGCCTAGTACAGGCATCACTAGATCAAAAGATAGGCACAATTCTTTTAGGATATAGTTCCAAATCACTTTCCAGAATAGCTTCACTAAAAATGCATTCCTATATCTGTCCTCCCACAGCCATTCTAACAATTATAGTTTTCCTTTTTGTTATCATTGCCAATCTGATCTGTGTGAGGCAGAACATTAGAGTTGTTTTAATGTACATTTCTCGTCAGTGATTTGAGGCTTTTTTTTATATAGTTGGTGATAATTTGCTTCTATCCTTTTGAGACCTGCCTGTCCCTATTCTTAAGGAATGGTTCTTGTTCTTATATTCTTGAATGAGTTTCTTGTATATCTTGAATATCATGCCTTTATCAGAAAAACATGCTGCAAAGATTTTTCCCCAGGTAACTGTTTTGCTTCTGATTTTTGCTGCATTGATTTGTGTTTCTGTGGTGCTTTTAAAGTTTATGTAATCAAAATTGTCTGTTTCCTCTGTTGCGATGCTTTCTTTTGTTTGGTCAAGAACTTGTTCCCTGTGTATAGTTAGAAAGTTGTTTTTATAATTTCTCTGTTGTGTTGACACTTAGTGTCACATGTCTATACAGAGTTTATTTTGGTTCATGATGTGAATGGTGTTCCAAACCAATTTGTAACAGACTACCTTCCTATTTTCCTCGCAGTTTTTGTCAAACAGTAAGTCTCAGTAGTTAGTATCTTTAGGTTTGTCTGACATTATGCTAATATGTTCATTTCTTCTGGATCTTAAATTGCTTTCAGTTTTTCAACTAGAAACAGTTAATGATTACTGATGTAAGGAAGGGCTCAACTGACGCATCAATCTTGCCATTTCTTAAAGTAATTAACAACACTCTAACCTTGATACCTTTAACAGGTGAGAACATCTTACTGAATTAATCAAAGGCATCAAACTAATAATGTATGCCTAGTCATGCAATATGAATCTTCTACAAAATAGCAAGCCAGTTTGGAACCCAGCATTTGTGTGTCAGACAGATTAGAGGAGAGAGCGAGTTTCACTCAAGCCCTTGAAAGACGATGCCTGAAGTGACTGGCACAAAAATAGAATTCTTCTCTTGCACTTAAAATTAATAGCCCTCCAGGGCAGCTGGGTGGTGCAGTTGATAGTGCACTGGCCCTGGAGTCAGGAGGACCTGAGTTCAAATCCAATCTCAGACACCTGACGCTTACTAGCTGTGTGACCCTGGGCAAATCACATAACCCCGTTGCCTAACCAAAAAAAAAATTAAATTAACAGCCTTTATTTATATACTCTATACCAGTGAGAATGCTATAAATTGTTTTACTTTTTTCAACTATGTTGTAGGATGTGGTTTAGCCTATAACTACTGAAAAAATTTCTTGAATTTAAAGAAATAATCAAGTGTTTTGTTTTTTTTTTCAACTCATAAAATTGAAGTTGGGAATGACAGTTTACTTAATACTATATCTAAACTATAAAATTTGTTCTTAAAGAAGTTCTGCCAATTTACTAGTTTTACTAAGAAAAACATGAAAATTTGGTTTGGTTTTTTTAAGGCAGTTGAGGTTAAGTGACTTGCCTAGGGTCACACAGCTAGTAAGTGTTGAGTGTTTGGTCTGAGGCCAGATATGAACTCAGGGCCTCCTGACTTCAGGGCCGGTGCTCTATCAACTGCACCACCTAGCTGCCCCAAAATTTAGCTTTCTGATAGGTTTTATGGTGCTAGTACACAAGTCTTATAAAAGTGTTCCCATTTGTGGCTTTGTTTTTTGATTTTCATGACCCTTAACATGACTTTAACATGACTTTTTGTATAACAAAAGCAGAAAATTGGGTTAACCTAAATGAGTCAAAGTTAACTTTAAAATTACATCAACATAAAGTCATAACTAAAGAGGGCAACTACAGGGATATTGCCAAATACTGTGCAGAGAATAGTATATACTTTTTTTATTATTTCATTGACTTTTTAAATATTCTTTGAAATAGTCTAAAAACATGACTTTAAATGTTTTTGGTTGACATTTTTCCAGTTTACATAGTGATTATCTTTTTGGCTTCTTAGTCTCTTAATGTATCAGCATCCTACTTTAATCAGTCTTTTTTCCCTCCTTTGGAAAGACAATATAATAGAGTCAACCTAGGAATAACATAGAGAATATTTTGAGCTTCATATTTGTAGATCTTCTAAATAGCTTTTAACTTTTAATATTACCTGTTTCACTATGTAGTAATAACAGTTGAAATTTATACAATATTTTAAGGTTTAAAAAGTATTTTAACATGCATTTATGTCATTTGATAATAGCAACCTAGTGTAAGCCTTCATCACCTCACTCCTGAGCTGTTGCCTGTTGATTGGTCTCCCTGTCTCAAGTCTTAGGCTGGTCTGACTATATCATCACTCTATCGCCTAATCAAAAAACTCATAAATTCCAGTGGGTTCCTTTTACCTTCAGGGTCAAATATAAAATCCTCTGTTTGGCTTTTAAAACTTCATTACCTAGCCCCTTCTTACCTTTCTAGTCTTCTTACAGCACCTCTCTCTGTATCCCAAAGAGATCATAAAAAAGGGAAAAGGATCGATTTATATACAAAAGTATTTATAGGAGCTCTTTTTGTGGTGGCAAAGAATTGGAAATTGAAGGGATGCCCATCAATTGGAGAATGGCTGAACAAGAGACTTATTCAAGTCTCTGCTTACAGTGGTTACAGATTTATTTTTCTTTTGGGGGATACCTAAGCTACAATCTTTTTTATACTGAGTTGGGGTCTTATTTGGTTTACTCATTTCTCCAGCTTTAGTTCCAGAACTGGGGATTTGTGCCAAGGCCAGGATTCGCTTCTGGGTGGACAGTTGGTCATATTTGGTCTTGACCTGGGTCATCTGTGTATCTTGTATGGATCTCCTCCTCCTGAGGTTAGGCCTTCTAGGATCTCTTAGGTTCAGAGTGCAGGGACCTCCATGGCATGTCAAGACTGAGTGCTAATAATCTAACCCTTGGGCTTGGGGGTGTCCAGGTCTGAGTACTGCCAAGCTATGCTGATTGCTGCCATTTCCCCAGGGCTTCAAAGGTCTCTACTTCGGGGTCTTCTGAAGGGAGCTATCTGCTTTTGCTGCATCCAGACACAAAGCCTTACAGTGTATAATGGCTCTGGTTGCATTAAGTCTACTAACTTGGCTTTGTTGGTGGCTCCCTTTCCCATTAGTCATGGGCTTTTGGCTGACTTTGTGCAGTTCTGGGGTGGAGGAAATCACTGCAGTTTATCATTAGATTTCTTTTTTCATCTGGTATGAATTTCAGGTTTTTTGTAGTAGATATCAGTCTTAATCTTAGTACTTTTTCTCTGAGATTATCTTCAAATTATCCTCTATATATTCTTGTTTATATGTTGTGTCCTCCCTGAGAGTATGAGCCCCTTGAGAGCAAGGACTATTTTATGTCTTTCTTTGTATCCCCAGCACTTAATAAAGTGTACCTGGCACATAATAGGTACTTAATAAGTATTTATTGACTTCACTTGACTTGATCCCTACAGCAACCCTGTGAGGTAAGTACTATTACTAAAAACACATTTTGTCACATGATTTTTTTTTTTTTTGGTGTTTTATCTATTTTCAGATGCTGAATTAAAACTGCAAAGGGAATTCCTTTCACCCGTAGTTATTGATATGTGAGTTCTAATATAAATTATATAGTAAGAGGCAGTAATAATATAGTTTAGTTATAGCATACTAGGGAATAATGAGAAATTGCTGGTTGGTTTGTATTTGCATGCTTTGTGAAGCTTATTTGCTTCGAGGCAGAGCTGGCTAGGACATACTCACACTTGTCATGCATTAAAACTAAGTATTTAACTGACCCAATCTGTCAGTTCCATGCTAGGAATCATTTGCTATATAATCATCATTATTATTTCTACTTCTGTTTTCTCAAATGTTTTTGTGTATTACTCCAACTAATATACCTCAAGTATGTTAGTCAACTGAATCATTTTTTATGTATGCAGTGAACTGACTTTTATATCTGAGAAAAAATTTTATTCCCCTTGTTAAAGCAGATGAACTATCTTTTGCTTATAAAATAGGGAGTTGGGTTAAGGCATGAGTCCCCTTCCTCACTTGTGCTGTTTTCAGTTATTTTAAACTACTCACTGGGTAGATACATGGTCTCATACTGTGGGGTCTGAGTTCCTATGATTGGGAGAGAGCAAAAAAATCATTTGTTTAACAAATATATCTGAGATTATTTCCAAGTCTAAACATACTGTACAGTGTTCAAATCTATCAGCTGTTTACCTTGAGAAACTACTTGTACAGAAATCACTGGAAGCCTGAATTTGGATGAAGAAAATGAACTAATGATTCAGATTTTAATGGACTTGGTATGAATGGTAAAGTAGGAGGCCAGCAAGGCAGTGATTCACCTATTTAAAGAATGCTTCTCTCCTCAGAGCCTCATTTAATAATTCTAAATTGTCTAAATAGATTTAAATGACTGAAATTGTGATCTCAACTTATCTAACCATGAAGCTAAATTTTTAGCTCCTGTACTAAAATTA